CTCTCCCAAACAGGCCTACCTCCACAACCCACCGCAATCACATAGTACTAAGTTCTGTCACAAACGTCTAGAGGTGGTAAAGTTGGTTTTATTGGGTGTTCAAGTGATTGTAATCTTGCTTTACATTTGCTGGGAATTGCCCGATCTCTTAAGAAGATGATCATTTACACAGGACACCCTCAGTGTGCATTCCTAATGAACAAGAAGGCAATCAGAGAGTGTGTTGAGCAGCTTAAAGCAAATTTACCTCCCGGAGCTGAATTGTCGACACATGGTCCTGGTTTTACGTAAGGAGTAGACGTCCCCTATTGGTTTTAAACGTGCACATTTACTATGACTTCTTTATTTTGCTACTAAGAGAAGTGATCAAAGGTTTTCAAATGTAGTTGATGTAAAGCTTGTCCGCTTTGGGACAAGCTCACATAGTTTTTTAGTTGTCGGGCTAAAATGGCCCAATGATACTCTTAATATGGTGTGATATTGTCCGCTTTGGACCAAGCCCAGACGATTTTTTCCAAAAAGCCTCACACTATTAAGAGATCACTATATAAGTTTCTTAATATTTTTAGCCGCCAATGTGAAACTTTAGCTGCACACCCAACATGTTTCTTGATTTTAGCGAATGTCAAATCGCTTTATCTAAGGACCAACTTCATTCATGTATGTAGCCTCATACGTGTGTAGCCCCCACAACATGTAGCACATAGTAAATATAACACATACAGGGTAATCTCCCATCATAAGATTAGACAATAAACTTACCTCACTCTGAAGTTCCATAATCGGCTCCTATGCCTCTCTAACACTTTAAACCGATGTCGAACTATCTGAAACTAGCCAAACACATGCAAATCAATCAAAATATACTCTAGTTAATGTTATAATTTATAACAATTCCCAACTCCACTCGAAAAGTCAACCCCCGGATCCACGTGCCTGAATTTCAAAAAATTTCAAAGACAAACATTACTCATAGCACCACGAACTCAAATATATAAATTATTTCTAATTCCATGTTCAATTTTGTAGTCAAAATCCAAAAATACAAATTCTAGGTTTTCTTTCAAAATCCCACAATTTCTACATATTTTCATGTTTAAATCCATATATAAACCATGTATTTAACTTACCTCATCTTTGATCATAAAAATGGCACTCCAAAATCGTCCCAAAGTCTGCTCCCATTGAAGAAATGAGATGAAATGAGCCAAATCTCAATTTAAAACAAGTCTGCCCAGTAAAATCCTTTCTCTGCGATCGCGGAAAACACCTTGCGGTCGGGAATTGCTCTACGTGAACACAAGGTCCTTCTCGCAATCGCGAAGCATAGTCTAACCAAACCTCCACGAACGTGGGCCAAACAACGCGAACGCGAAGGCCAAACTTTAGCATCAGCGAATTGCCTCTTACGCGATCATGTGAACCCTTTCACAATCACATAGTACAACTCTCCCAAACAGGCCTACCTCCACAACCCACCGCAATCACATAGTACTAAGTTCTGTCACAAACGTCTAGAGGTGGTAAAGTTGGTTTTATTGGGTGTTCAAGTGATTGTAATCTTGCTTTACATTTGCTGGGAATTGCCCGATCTCTTAAGAAGATGATCATTTACACAGGACACCCTCAGTGTGCATTCCTAATGAACAAGAAGGCAATCAGAGAGTGTGTTGAGCAGCTTAAAGCAAATTTACCTCCCGGAGCTGAATTGTCGACACATGGTCCTGGTTTTACGTAAGGAGTAGACGTCCCCTATTGGTTTTAAACGTGCACATTTACTATGACTTCTTTATTTTGCTACTAAGAGAGAGCTGCTCAAAGGTTTTCAAATGTAGTTGATGTGAATCTTCTTGGATATACGAGCCCTGTGGGATTTGCTTCGATGGTTGCAGTGACCGTTGATGCATTTGAGTGTTATAGCTATCCAGAAGCTATTTCGAGTACAGAAACAAATCGACGGATAGTGTTGTGGCTGAATATATTGAGTCTCTTAACAAGTTTAGGCGTTGCCTAGACTTGTTTGATGTGTGCGGAAATGGGTAGAGCCCTTGCGAGGACTGAGGACAAGGTAGAGAGACGTAGTTCCTATTGATGAAGAGAATTCAAGCCAACAGGAAGATTTGTTATTTGCGGCTTGAATTATTTCCTTGTATTTTTAGGAAATCCATAATTCCTATGACTTTGGGAAAACCCATTGTCCTAATAGATATGGGAAAGAAAAACTTATTGTCCTTGTCAAATTAAGAAACCTTTCTATATATTTGTGACTATTTGGGATCTATATATAGATATCGTAGTCCGAGATTCTATAGGTTGTATTGCGCTTTTCTTCTCATTCATAGTGGATTAGGCTTAGCCGAATCTTGTTAAATTCTTGAGTTGATCTTTCTTCTCGATTTACTTTGTGTGTGTGATTGCGTGGTAATTAACCCACAATCTTCCGCAACAGATACTCTTAACATGGTATGATATTGTCCGCTTTGGGACAAGCTCACATAGTTTTTTAGTTGTCGGGCTAAAATGGCCCAATGATACTCTTAATATGGTGTGATATTGTCCGCTTTGGACCAAGCCCAGACGATTTTTTCCAAAAAGCCTCACACTATTAAGAGATCACTATATAAGTTTCTTAATATTTTTAGCCGCCAATGTGAAACTTTAGCTGCACACCCAACATGTTTCTTGATTTTAGCGAATGTCAAATCGCTTTATCTAAGGACCAACTTCATTCATGTATGTAGCCTCATACGTGTGTAGCCCCCACAACATGTAGCACATAGTAAATATAACACATACAGGGTAATCTCCCATCATAAGATTAGACAATAAACTTACCTCACTCTGAAGTTCCATAATCGGCTCCTATGCCTCTCTAACACCTTAAACCGATGTCGAACTATCTGAAACTAGCCAAACAACATGCAAATCAATCAAAATATACTCTAGTTAATGTTATAATTTATAACAATTCCCAACTCCACTCGAAAAGTCAACCCCCGGATCCACGTGCCTGAATTTCAAAAAATTTCAAAGACAAACATTACTCATAGCACCACGAACTCAAATATATAAATTATTTCTAATTCCATGTTCAATTTTGTAGTCAAAATCCAAAAATACAAATTCTAGGTTTTCTTTCAAAATCCCACAATTTCTACATATTTTCATGTTTAAATCCATATATAAACCATGTATTTAACTTACCTCATCTTTGATCATAAAAATGGCACTCCAAAATCGTCCCAAAGTCTGCTCCCATTGAAGAAATGAGATGAAATGAGCCAAATCTCAATTTAAAACAAGTCTGCCCAGTAAAATCCTTTCTCTGCGATCGCGGAAAACACCTTGCGGTCGGGAATTGCTCTACGTGAACACAAGGTCCTTCTCGCAATCGCGAAGCATAGTCTAACCAAACCTCCACGAACGTGGGCCAAACAACGCGAACGCGAAGGCCAAACTTTAGCATCAGCGAATTGCCTCTTACGCGATCATGTGAACCCTTTCACAATCACATAGTACAACTCTCCCAAACAGGCCTACCTCCACAACCCACCGCATTCGCGACTCTTCCCACGCGAACGCGAAGAATCACTTGCTCTAGCTCCGCGATCGCGATGAACAAAATCTCCCCCAGCCCAGTTAACCCTTCACGATCGTAACCTTGCTTCCACAAACGCGATGCACGCCAACCACACCAGAAACCAGTTGATGCAAAACATAGAGAAACGATCTGAAACCATACCAAAACATACTCGAGGCCTCCGGACCCCGTCTAATCACACCAACAAGCCCCAATACCTAATCCCAACATATACAAAGTCTCGAAAAGTCATGAATAACATCAAAATCATGTATCGACAATTAAAATCCTTCTTTTAAATTTCGAACATTAGAACTTCGGCGAACGCGTCCAAATCACACTTTAACATTCCGAAATGACGCTAAATTTTACGTACAAGTCATAAATCACAATACGAACCCATTCTAAGGCTCGGAATCCCAAACGGACATCGATGACACCAATGTCCACTTCAACTCAAACTTAGAAAATTTTAAAACCTTCAAAATGTAAACTTTCCACAGTAAGCGCCAAAAACCTCCTGGACCATCCGATACTCAATACGAACATACGTCCAAGTCCAAAATAATCAACAAACCTATTGGAACCTTAAAATCTCGATTCTGAGGTCGTTTACTCAAAAGTCAAACCTTGGTCAACTCTTCCAACTTAAAGCTTCTAAATTGAGAATTATCCGTCCAAATCCACTCCGAACTTTTCAAAAGTCGAAATCGACCTCATATGCAGGTCATAATACATAAAGTGAAACTACTCAATGCCTCAAACCGGTGAACGACGCGCTAAAACTCAAAACGATCGTGATGGATTTATAGTACCTTAGTTTCACGTTTTAATGATCTAACAAACTTGCTATCAAAGAACCAGATAAGGAACCCGATACACTTGGTACACAACTCAATCAACAGACTCAAGCTAATGTGAGTTGCTATAACTTCAGAAGATAAATAATCAACACAGGGACCTGATCCCCTTGGGTTCCCCTGACAGCAATACGAAGTGATCTCTCTACAGCTGGAAAGTGACTTCCTGCATTGTACACGCAAACAGTGCAGCACAATGCAGCAGTCACTTCTCATTGACCTTGCACCAACCAAGTGACTACATCACTCCAGTGATGTCATCCAAGTTGTATTAACAAAACATTACAATAAAACATCACTTGAACACTTGAGAATTCATTCAAGCACTCTAAGCATCTTACAATCAAGCATTCAATTCTGAAGTGCATCAAGAACAAAGTACAACACTACTACGGACCAGTTCCTACAGCAAGTCTCTTGTATGTCCTTAGTTGAATTGTAACTTTGTAATTGTTCTTCATTGTAATTCCTACTTTGCTTATCTAGAAGCTTTATTTAGGAACCCCTTTTAAACTATAAACCTTTTGTGTTTGTATCGTGACTAGAGTTAGTTATGAGTTGAAGTCTTTGTAATAGGTGTATTGCAAAGTGGCTTGTAATAGGTGTATTACAAGCTAGTGAGGAATTAAGAGTTTAATTCCTAGATTGCATAGGTTGTAATCTAAAAATTTTTCATAGTGAAGTTGAAATCCTACCAGTGTAGGTCGTGATTTTTTATTTCCTTGAGCGGGGATTTTTCCACGTAAAAGTTCCGTGTTCCATTTACTTACTATTGGATTAGCCTTATCTGTGGAAACCTATATAGGACCTGGTCTATATATAGTTTGGTGGACTCATAAATTCTATAAAATAGTATCAGAGCGGGTTTTTTCTATTAGGTTAATGATGATAGGCTATAATTGCGTATTTTTAGTCGCTTATTACACTCTAATTTATTGTACTTTACACTACTACAAAAAGGACCTTTAGTGGTAATAAAAAACAGCATTGGCGGCAATAACAATTGCCGCTATAACATTTACCGGCAATTGATCTTTAGCCGGTGATGCCGGGGTCGGTAAAGCCTTTAGCGACATTTCTACCAAAAGCTGGTAAAGGGTATGATTTATTGCCGCTAAAACTCATTTGCTTTAACGGCAATTGTTTGTGGCAATTATTATGGCTGCTAAATCCATTCTAAAAACGACTAATAATGGTCCTTTAACGTCCATTTTTATAGCCGCTAAATTCAAAATATTTGTCGCTAAAAGTCCGTACCTTTAGCGTTAATTATTTTGTGGCAATTCAATTGGCAACAATATCTCTTCTAAAAATGTATTAGTATGCCCCTTTAGCGTCCATTTTAATGGATAGCAAAGCCAATTAAATTGCCGCTAAAAATCATATTTAATAGCAATATAATGGTTACAATATCCCTGTATAAACGTCTTAATCCTATTAAATTGACACTAAAATTCACAAGCTATAACTGTAAGTTTAGCCACCATTAATAATAGCTACTACATTCTACCAAAAAATAATGCAAATAACAAAACATATTGATATTAATTCATAAAACTATAGTATATCTCGTTAAATCTTAACTAACAAAAGGAAGTACTAATAATCCAAAATATTAATATCACAAATCCTTAAAAAATAACTCATATTGTTTGAAGTAAATAGCTAATGTCACTATATAACTAATCTTAACGAATAACAATCTTCAAATAATCTCTGAAACTCTTCGTCATATTGAAATCTTCCACCCGCTAAATTATCGAACATCAGACTGTATGACCTGAAATTATAAAATAACTATGTCAATAGGAAGTGAATATTACCAAACAACAAAGCTGATAATAATTTGCGAGGTTATGAAACTAAAAGTCCATAACCATCTTTGTGGTAGTAGACGACATGACTAAAGGGATAACAGAAAGCTAAAATGAACTCCTGGAACCATCCTTTCTGATAGAAAGGGTATATTTTTTTTAAATTGCCGCAGGAATTGTTATTTTAAATTAATGAGGACACTACTAAGTTTCACAAGGAATTCCACTTATAAAGATAATGTGTAATGATAACCTCCAACCAAAGCTTTTCTAAGTTAAGAATAATCTTTACGAAGTTCAGAATAATATCACGCATACACTATCTCTTTGTTTCCAATGCCTGTTTCAGCGGCAAAAAGGTTGACATACTTTGGAGGGATTTCTTATGGCAAGGAAGAAGAACACAGAACCTTCAACTTGGTAAGATGGGAAACAGTCACCACAGATAAGGAGGCAGGTGGACTTGGAGTGAAGAACTTTAAGATACAGAGGAACAACTTACTGCGGAAGTGACTATATAATTTAGTGTCAAAGAGGAGGCACTTTGGAGATCTGTAGTTACGGTAAAATATGGACTCCTAATCCCTTGGATCACTAGACAGGTTCAGCAACACAGTCCCTATGGTATATGGAGGCAAATTAGAGTTCACTGGAATTCTTTTTTTGCCAACACCTCTTTCAAGTTGGAACTGAGAACCTCCTTTACAGAACCTTGTGTATCAACAAAGCAATTTAGTGACTCAAGCAATTTAGTTATTTATCAATAGAAATCAAAGAGATAGGTAATAACTAAATGACTCACAGATATATGGAGCAAAATTAAGAGCTTTATACAAATAAACAAGTCATACAGATCATATAAGTGTTTAAGTAAAAGTGACTGGGTTCGTACTGAACCCGCACACTATAAGCTAGCNGCACACTATAAGCTAGCTCCTCCTTTGGTAACAATATTATTCAGGCAGAACATGAGTTGACTTGAGGATAGAACAACCTCATGCAATAATGCACAAACTGAAGCCTGAGATTATAACAGAGGAAACCACCAGTAAGAATTTAACAAATTTGAATGGCTGCTAGTTTCTTGAGGATAAAAACTGAATGGCTGCAATTTTAACAAATTTTGAATGGCTGCCAGTACAAAAACTGAATTGCTGCTAGTTCTTGAGGACAAGAATTAACTTAAGGGGTCTGGAACCATTCTCTTTTGAAGAAGTTCTTTCCTATTCGCAGTGTGTTCAACACAACTTTTAAACTTCTAAGAGTCATAAACAAAGGAGAACAATAGGAAGTCACAAATGGCACTTCCTTATAAAAAGGGTAACAAATGGCACTTGGAAAAGAAACAGTTCCTATTGAACATATTGGAATATACATACAAGAACAACACATTGCCTCTAAGTTTTTACTTTTTCTGATGTTTAGGTTAGTATATTTTGACAAAAGTTTTAGGTAAGTATCAGATTCTCAATAAGACAATAACATTCAACATACCCAGCTAGAATAACTAGTGTGAACCAGAAGGTATGCAACACCTGAGTTGCACCAAGTTTCGCATCTCTTTGCTGAGGTAGAAAATTTCCATTCTAGCTCACACTTAATTTTGCAAAAGTTTGATCAAAAAATAGAAAACTTAAATAGTAGCTTGCCGAAGGATAAAGATGAGTAGTACCATGAGACATTGAAGTATTTTCAGCAACATTAGGTATCCTTGATATTTGTGGTACTCGTTCATGGCCACTATTGGCAGAAGGGACCTGATAAATATTAACACACCAGATAACAATAATTTTATAGGACTAAAACTTCATTAATAATGTACATAACTTATAAAATCGAGTTACCTGTTCAATTGAGGTGCCATTGATATTTTGAGGCATAGATTCATTGGAAGCATATTTGCGCATCAATTGTCGCATTTCGAGTAATTCTGATTGCATCTTCTCCTGATTTTGTTTCATCAGATTCATTTCTTCATTGTGTTTATCTTTTAACTCGGTTATCTCTTGTGTTAACCTTTGGACAGCTTCATTAGAGGAATCCTCTCCAACAATATTTTCTAAGAAAGATCTACTACCCCATAAACCAGAAGGAGTTGGACCAAGTCCTAAACCACGAACATATCCACTTTTGTCATTTCCGAACACCTGAGAATACACATCGCCTTCCCAAGCAACAGCGCGAGGGGTTGGTCCAGTAAAGCTCTCAATATGTTCGTCCTTATTTTATCATTTCTGGCGACATAAAATACATAAATCATTTGGAATTCATTTATTCGCTTTTATGTTTTTTCCTAACTATTTCCAATTAAGAAAAAAAAGAAAAAAAAGAAATCTTACAATTGCCTTGACAGAATCAATCTCCAGTGGTCTATCATCTTACGTTTTGTATGAGTTAATATGAAACTTGTGCTCATGTAGGCTCTATCCTATTTACAGCTAATACAATAAAATTGATGTAGATATACGTGAAAAAATTAAACATTATAGTTAGTATTGAACAAGTTTACTGCTCATCCATCAAGGTAGCAATATTTTGGATCCTCTGTGTGAGGCATCTTTTGATTGGCCCTATTATTTCTATTTGCTTGGAACGCCTCTATCGTTGAAATATTAAAATGATATCTTATAAATATACATAAAATTGAGCATACATAAAATTAAACACACTGAAATAATCAACTTGAGGTGTTTTAAATTTGTTAATACCTCTTAGTTTTATCTGAAGCCAATAAGCGACAGACCACTCCATTATCCCTCGTATGCGACTTGGTCTATTTTTCAGCAAAAGGTCTTTAGTCTTATATTTTCGCAATACTCACCTTTAATCACACTTAATCTTTCCATTTCTTTCTAGTGTTACTTTAGACTAAGCTTCTCCTCGTCTTGGGATAGAGAACTTCTTCTAAAAAAATAAGCCGATATTTAGAAAAAAGTATTCTGTATAAAATATTGAACTTCATATATTATTAATAATAATAAATAAATAATAAATAATAAATAATAATAATAATAACTACTCATACCCACAAAATCCACAATTTCTTCTTTTCCTCTGTCAAATTTCTCCAATACATCTCATGTAAAGGTTGTTTAATGTCTGGATTCTCGCAATGATTCCTAGAAGCTAGCAAGCTTTCGACCTTTTCCCCCAATAGCTTGGTTACGATTATTAACGGCACATCAACTACTTCCCGGAGAAGTTTCCAAATATCTTTTAAGTAAAGTGGCCCACCGAACCTTTCTTGGGCTCAAATTACCTAGAATAAGAAGATTCAAAGTCATCAAACTTATTGGTTAGTACATGAAACAATAGAAATTACAGAAAATCACAATAGAACTAGTTCATTATAAGGCGTCTACTTCATTATATTAGAGAACAGTCTCTATTGACTGAGAGTGAAACAAGTGCCGACTGTGAGCAAATAGACAATTAATAGAAGCTTCAAGAACCAACCTGTGAGTAAACAAATGTATCGAATTCAGAACTGTTAAAGGTACAATGCCAACAATATTTTCTGTGAGTACAATTCAGACTG